GTACTCTAATGAAAGATGCAGCTCTAACAGCTGTCTAAAGAAGAACTACAGGAAAGCCAACCCTTAGCATAAATTATCTTAAAAGAAAGGGAATCCTGCAATACCACTCCACTTTAAAACCCACATTTGCTATTTATTTAGATAGCTGAGAGTTTTAAATGGATTAAAATAAATGCCAGTTTCCTAATGCACATATTCCATCCTTCAGTCTCTCAGCATGGCCTCAGCTCTTCTGGAAATTCCAGGACTTAGCAGCTGCCTTCAATATTTTTAAGCATGACACTAATAGAGCAGAAGAGAATCAGTGGAGTGACAGTAGCACATGGAGAATTTCAGACCAGTTTTCAGATGACATATTAAATCCAGGCACTCGTTCATTCAAAGCAGGGTTCAATATTATAATCTATAAATCAGTATTTGCCTTACAAAATGTAATGGAAAATGCTAATAGGATTTACTGGAGCAATGAAATTGGATCACATCTTATCTATTTGAACTTGATTTGGTACCATATTCCTTCGTCATCAGCCAGCAGCTTCAATGGCTTTTCTCCTCTCCTTCCCCGCCCCGTCCTCTCAGAATTCAGGCATAACCTCAGGCCACCGTTTCTCAAAGGGAAATTAGGGGGGACAGACATAAATCAAGTAGAGAATGTAGATTATGCAATATCAAGCAGTATAATGAAAAACTCCTGTAAAGTCATTAGAGCTATAACATGTGTGCCTGAGCTCATTGTTTATGTAGGGTAGGAAGCTGCCCAGCCAAGGAACTTGAATTTCAGAAAGTAATTTAAACCTGGTAATTTTCTTGTCCACGCTCGGGTGACTGAACACCCGCTGTATCGATGAATATCCGTGTTCGGAATTATGCTTCTATCCACGGGAACCACTCTGGGCTCATTGATACATTCTATTAACTGGGCACAATAAAGCCTTGATTTATTCCCAGTTATCAGGTCTACGGGAGAGAACATTCCCTTTAACAACAGGGAAATGTATGGAAAGTTGTCAGAGGCAGTTAAGTAACAACATTCACACAAACCTGGCTCCATGTGCTGGGGGGTAAGAGGGAGGTGTAGCAGGACATGGCATGAGACACAGTGGGGGAACACAGAGATGGAACAGGGATCACCCACACTCTGAGATGAAGTGATGCTTCTGCAGAACATGACTGTCCAGACCCCATCACGTCATTCAGGTTGCAAAAGCAGGAATCATGGAATCCCAGACTGGTTTGGGCTGGAATGGACCATCTTGTCCCACACCGTGCCTTGGGCAGGGACGCTTCCACTAGACCAGGCTGCTCCAACCTGTTCTGATTTGGAGCATAAGCCACACATGTTACTTCCAAGAGTATTCTCTATCATAAGCACTCCAGGTGGGAAAAGTGGTGGACATTTGTGAAATTCCAGGATCCCTGTGAGACTAAGGAGGAGAGTTGGGTGTATTGGTCACAGTTTAAGTGTTGCCCACCAAGGAACTGAGTCATGAGTAAATGGAATTCAAAGCACATGGAGGGACCCGGAAGATGGGCAGAACATCCCTGCACCAGGAACACAATCATGGAATGACACTGGAGTGGGTAAGAGCTGCAGCAGAGAAAAATCACAGAATAGTTTAGATTGGAAAAGCTCTCTAAGAGCATCAAGTCGAACCATCTCCCAGCAGTGCCAAGGCCACCATTAACCCATGTCCCCAAGCATCAAGGAAAAGAACGGAATTTTTGGGGGGATGTGGAGGGAGAAAGCAGTGCTCTTCTCAGTTTGTCAGAGAAATGAACAGGTACCTCTAAAGAAGAAACAGGATGGAAGGACATTTGACAAAGGAAACTGCCCAGCCAGGACAATCAGAGGTGCTAAAGGCTTCCTCTCTTTTATATTTCTTTTTTTAAGAACTTTGCAGATTTAAACATGAAAATAAATTTGATATAAATTTCTTACAAATAGTTACCAGTAGGCAAAGCACAACTCTCCTAAACAAAACACCTGGCTTTCATAGATGTCCTGCCAGGCCAGCTCAGCAGCAAAAGAGCGTCATTCCACTGGTTTGGTGGCAGGCACAGCATTCCCACTGAACAGGGCTGCCCACCCAGGCTGTCCTGGGCAGAGAAAGTCACCCCATCATGTCCTACCTGCCTAGAACAATGTGCCCACGGGGCTGATCATGGCACTTGAGCTCTGACAGCACCCCCATCCCTGGCACAACCCTCTCCCAGCTGCAACAAGCTGTTTTTCTGCCTGATTGGGATGGACGAGGATCAGCAGCAGGGCTCAGCTGGCTGGGGGACACTAAAACCCATCCAGGGCTGTGTCAGCAATCAGCTGATCACTCTGTACAAACTGCTTCATGCTGTAGCCACATCCTATTTCTACATGGCTTCCACTTTATCCCTGTTCCCTCCTTCTTTAGTATAGTGGGTTGATCCTGGCCAGATGCCAGGTACCCACTAAAGCCACTTTCTCACTCTCCTCTGCAACTGGACAGAGGAGAGAAAAAAACCAGCAAAGGATTCATGAGTTGAGATAAGAGCTGGGAGAGGTCAGTTACTGATTACCTTCATGGGCAAAACAGACTCAAAGTGGGATATTCCTTAAATTTATTACTAAGAGGATAAGAGCCAAAGAGTGAGAAATAAAGAAGTCTTAAAAACACCTTCCCCCCACCCCTCCTTCCTTCCATGTTCCCCCCTGGCGGTGCAGGGTATCGGGGAATGGGAGTTATGGTCAGTTGTTGTTCTGCTGCTGCTCAGGGAGAGGAGTCCTTCCCCTGCTACCACTGGGTTCCTCCACAGGAGACAGTCCTTGATGGACCTCTCCAGTGTGAGTCCAGGGAGAGCAAATCCCATCCCATCTGCACCCCTGGGCACAATCATTGCTCCCACAGAGACACTGGGGTGGCTGGTGCAGGAATGAGCCATCACTGCTCATCTTTACCTTCCTGGCACTGTCAATAGTCAATTGTTCTCATCACAAAGCCATCTGGAAGACTCAAAACCCCTGTTAAGGAAACAGTGATGTGAGGTCAGGAATAGTTCCAGCTCTGGCACGATTTGGGGCAAAGGGCACACACCAACCAGGGCATTGTCTGTGTGTTGCATTGAAACTGCAGTTTCGGCTTTAGTCAGCTAAGCTGATGCTTTCATCCATCAAGTGGACAGAAGATTTTCCCGGGGCTTTTGGGCACGGGGGGAAAGCGAAGGAGCCTGAAATCCTTCACTCCCCAACACCTTCAGCCCCCAAATCTCCCCCCCTTTCCTTTCCCTTCCCTCCTAAAACCCAGATCAAACACATGTAGACGAACCACAAGTGAACCTGTTTCCTCTCGGACAATAAGGGTGTGCAAAGGAGGGAAAAGATCTTTTCATCCAAACTACGACTTGCGTATGTCTAGATCTTTACTTGGAATGTAAGGAGAACTCAGTGAGTTTATCACATCCACTGTGATGTTTTTCTTACTTAAAAAAAACCCAAATACAAAAGCAAGCAGGTTTAGCAGCTTCTCCCATTCTCTGAACATGAGACAGCTGGTCTCACCTTAATTGAAATCCCCATGATATGAAATAACACAGATGCAATATTTGTTTTGCTAAAACCAGGCTGAGCTCACCATCTTTTTGCTCCCTACTGTGAGTTATGGCCAAAAGCCATTTTGGGGAGCAGTTTGCTGAAGGTGTCACCCATAACACTCAGGGCAAGCCTGGGCAAATGTTTGCACAGGTTCTCTTATTGAGAGTCTTCCAGTAGTAACTCACTGCATAGAAAGTAAAGGCCACTTGTTCCATCAGACACTATCCATTATGGTTTTCCTTCCCACAGTGCCCCTGTTTTTTTATAGCACTGCCTGTTTTTGGAAATGCAGCAAAGCTGAGAGAGGTGGAAACACATCAGTGAGGGCAAAGAAACAGTGATAACATCGATGGACTCAGAGAGACTCCTCAAGCTGCTCAGCAGTTCAAGTCTGTCCTTGTGACTGACGATCACATCCCCACAGCTGAGCCTCAGGACCTGCAGGCAGTGCCACCAGCCAGCACAGAACTTGGGGCAGCGTCACCCAGCATCCCAGTGCACCATCAAGCTGTTCTGTAAGTGCCTTGATCCACTATGTCCCTGGACAGCACGAACTACAAGAGTGCTGGTGTCACATAAATGAGGACAGTCTGGTCATGAATGAACAAGCCCTGAATTCCCTGATGTCACAACTGGCCCCAGAAGTGACCAGAGGACAAGGGGCTTTGCTGCCCATATCAACAAGGACAGTGCCTGTGGGGGAGACACAATGCTGACATTTGTGACCAATAAAGCTGCCACAGCAATTCTAAAGCCAGAAACTGTTACAAATGACAAGCTGGATAATTGAACTTAATCAAACAATATTAACTGTTAGAATGAACAAGAGAAATTATGCACATTTTCTTTCCTCTAGTTTTTTTACATGTTGGAGGGAAAAAGAATGTTTCACATCATACCAAGTGCTAAACCAAATTCAGCTCCAAGCTGAGAACATCTTGGTGTGGAAGTCCCAGGCAGTCCAACCTGACAGGCTGCAGGGACAGGTACCAGGTGGCCTTGGGGGCTCCTAGTGTCCCCCACCATCCCCAGGATCCCCCCAGCAGAGCCACGCGCCAGCAAACTTCTTCCTTCAGAGAGCAACCACATGAACAGCCTGCTGTCTCTACTGGGAATATTTCAAACTTCCTTAGAGACCGATCCTCATCCAATCACTCGAGTTTCTCATCTCCTTGCATTGTATTGCACAACACAGCAAGTTAAATCAGGGAATTTCAGCCCAACAACATCGTCAGCCACCAGAACCTACTCAGATAATGACTCAAAATGGAGGGTTTGCACCTCAATCTCCTTGGTGACACCAACCCAGCCATGACACAGCACAGCTCCCTTTGCCACCATTTGCCACCTTTGCCACAGTTGCACCACTGCACCAGACTTTCCTTTGCCGCCGCTTCTCCATCGGATTTAGGGAATAAGAAGCAACATGACTTACAGCTTACTGTGACTTTTACTTTTTTCACATCTGGGACTGAGACATCATTTTCTGCGCTGCATTCGTATTCCCCCGCCTGGTCTCTTGTAATTCCATAGATGTCCAAGTACTGCCCGCTCTCAAAGGGCTTTGCTGAAATGAAACAATCAGAGAGAAAGAAATTACTGGAAGCTGAGCACAAAACATGGGACGCTTCAACACCTGACCAGCATTCAGAGGAGTTAACACACATCCAAGGGGAGCTAGGAGCTGCTGCAGCTTTCACCCAGAAACCCTGCTCTGAGGTGAACTGAAAACCCCCTCAAGCTCCTGGAGTTGAGCAAAGGTTCTCTCCTGTCCCTGCCCCACAGTGATGCTCAGACACGTTTATATACACATGAGTAATTTGCGCCTGATGGGCTTCACAGAAGAGAGAAGCTGTGGCTGCTCTGCCCCAGGAAGTGTCCAAGACCAGGGGCCTGGAGCAACCTGATCTAGCAAAAGGTGGCCCTGCCCATTGGAGATCATGGAATTAGGTGTGCTTTAAATCCCTGTCTTAAAAGCTTCAGCATCCATTGGGGTTGGTGGTTTGCACCTGTGCAGAGCCCAACTCCTGAAGGGACCATGAGCAATTCCTGGAGCAGCTGATCTGTCCCAGCTGCCCATCACAGCTGCCTTCACTGGTCAGGGACCATTTGTCCTTGTTACATCACCCAGCAGAGCATGAAGCTGGATGGTGAACCCCCCAGGGCTGCCAGAGCCAGGCATGTCCTGGAGGGAACCAGTGGCTGATCACCTGTGATGGGGTCAGTAGGTGTAAAATGAGTCATCACACCTCCTACCTCCAGAGAAAAAGCTCTTCCAGGCTTGCTCACCACCCACTCAGTGCTTACATGTTGTGCCCTAATAAAAATTTCATCATATTAGTCAAAAACTAATGAAGAGCTCTCCTTTCCCAAAGGAACCAAACCTAGGAAAGGGGATCCCCAGTGTTTGCCTTGTTACACAGAAATAAGGACAGTGTGAGTGAGCATTTCTGAGCATAGGCCAAGGTCTGTCTGCTGGGAAACAACAGGAAATCAAAGGGAATGTTTGTGTCTGTAAAACTTCAGTGCCCTGTAACGCACTCATAGATTGTTTCAGAGACCAGTGTCAATGACACCACTCAAGAGCTCCTTTAACTCCACTTGACACAGCAGATACAGGTATTTCTGGAGCTCCCGAAATCCCAGTACCTCCCAGTGTTTCCCTGCTGTGGTTCCCACGTTGCAGGGAACGCTCTGATATCCCTCAGATGAAAACTGCTCCCTGCTTTCAAGTTCATCTTTCCATGTCTTTTAAGAAGAGCTCCCCATGTGATGGCCAAGTAATTGGTTCAGATTCCTCACAAGGCACCCACCACATAATAAACAAAAAAATGTTAAATATAATTATTATTTTAACGCAGTATATCACAGCAGCCATGACCACAGACGCTGGAAATTATAGGTCTAAAGGTTTAAAAGACTTGCTGGAAGTGTTTTCCCACCCAGACAAGCCTTTAATTGACTGTTAATAACTGTGTGGCTTGTGGAGCACTGAAAAAAACCCAGAGTGGGCAGTGAGGACCAAGCAGGAGCTTGGTTATGTCATGTCCATCATAGTGGTGAATTAATTTGCTTATCTGCTCATGAATTAATGTTTTAAAGTGTGCAAGGTTCAGAACATCAATTATCACATCGTTCAGCACGGCAGCTCATTAACACGCACATGACACTGTGTCTGTCACGGGGAGGAGCCCAAGTGAGCACTGGTGGTGGGAAGTAGAAAGATAAGACTGAAATAGGAAAATTATTGTGAATTGAAGTGAATATTCATAACAGGCAGTGAAACAGTTTATGGGACATGAGGAATTGCATAAGGATTTTTAATTGCATGTTTTTTTTCTCTTCCATGTTCATAGGAATAAATAATAAAAAACCCCTTCCCCAAACAAAGCAGGTGTTGCTGTTCCCAGCATGGTCCCATCCTGCTCTGCTTCAGCCAAGTTGAAGCAATTCCCAGGAAAACTATATTTCCTCTTGCTTTGAACAGCAGAGAAGGATGCAAAGTCCCTTCTGAACAAGGGCATTGGCCCACAGAGAGGAAAGACCTTCCAGCAATTCTGCTTTGGTTCAAACGCCAAGAAAATTACATAAAATGCAAAATTCTCTCTTGTGTCAGGTTAAAAATAACTAAAAATGATGTGATTGTAATGCTCTCCAATGTCAGTGCTTCCCTGGATATATGGTAGGCATCAAAACACTGTACAGCATCCCAGAATCACAGAGATTGGAAAAGCCCTCCAGACCATTGAGTCCAACCTGTGCCCAATCCCCACCTTATCACCCAGCACAGAGCACTGAGTGCCACATCCAGTTGTTCCTTGGATGCCTCCAGGAATGGTGACTCCACCACCTGCCTGGGCAGCCCAGTACACTGAACCCTGAGATAAACTTATGATGTATTCCATCCCAATATCCAATATAAATTTGGAGAAAAAGAAACAAAATACATCTCCAACTACTTGGAATTTTATTTAAAGGTAATTGTGTTTTGGGGGTGAGGTAAAACCAAACATTCTCTGCTCTAAACTTCTGGTTAAATGTCAGCACACCACAGAATGGCCTGAGTTGGAAGGGACCTTAAAGATCATCCAGTTCCAATCTCTCCTGCCATGGGCAGGGACACCTTCCACTAGACCAGGTTGCCCAGAGCTCCAGCCAACCTGGCCCTGGACACTTCCAGGGATGGGGCTTTTCTGGGCAACCTGTGCCAGGGCCTCCCCACTCTCACAGGGAGGAATCCCATCTAATCCTGCACTCTGGCAGTTTAAAGCCACTCCAGGCCCTTGTAAATAGTCTCTCTCCATCTTTGTTGTAACTCCTTCAGGTCCTGGAAGGCCCCACTTAGGTCACCCTGAAGCCTTCTGTTCTCCAGGTTGAACAATCCCAATTCTCTCAGCCTTCACTCACAGCAGAGCTGCTCCATCCCTCTGATCATCTTGATACCTCCTCTGGACTCGCTCCAACAGCTCAACGTCCCTCCTGTGCTGGGACCCCAGAGTTGGAGGCAGCTCTGCAGGTGGGTCCCACCTGAGTGGGCAGAGGGGTAGAATCCCCTCCCTCCATCTGCCAGCCAGTTCATTGATTTAGATTCCTCACAAGCCACTCACCACTTAAATCACCATTCCTGTTAGAATGATTCCCAAAACTGCACATCAGCCCTTTCCATGACCCCCGTATTTATACAGATTTATGCTGAGCTCTGACTCTCATTTATGCAGCAAATGCTCCTGTATTTTGATAGTGCTGGGCAGATCTGGGATTTTGTGCAACTCACACACACACATTCCAGATCTTCAAATTAAGGCATTTTAAAACCCTCATGTCCCCTAAAATGTTATATCCAGCTCACATAAGTAAACTCTTAGTAAATATGAGAAATGAAACTCTTAGGAATACACTGATACCCTGTTTCATTTCCCCAATTCGCCTGCCCTGTGACGCCCCTTCCTCAGCGTATTCTTAGTTCCAGAGATCTCCCATGGCTGTGTGGGAGCACGTGGATCATGTGAGAGCACGTGTATTGAGCTGCGGGAGGGATCTGTGCATAAGTATATGTAAGTGTATTTATGCTGCATCACGTGAACATCCAGCTGAGGCAAGGAGATCCATAAGCAGTAGGAGAATAAACTGTGGATGAAGACATTGGGGAAAGAAGATGAGTTTCAGGAGACAACTCAGTTTTCTCACTGTTTTTTCCTATGATCTCTCACAGTCCTGGGTAACCAATCCTTACTCTGCTCTTCTGCAGCCCACAAACATTTTATAGACTTATCAAGAGATTGGAAATACTTCTGGCTGCCTTATCTGGCCATCAAGCCAAAATACTCCTCAGGATTTGTATTTGAGAAAAGGAAATCTGAAGGTTCATTAGCAGCAGTCCCTCAGCCTGAGGTCATGTCAGCCAAGAACTTTGATCAAAGATAAGAAAAAAACATTGGTTGAAGTAAAAGGAACATAAACATGAGGGTGCCTCACATCCAAGGCCATTCCTGATGGGATTTTCAGAAGATCTCTTAACTAGATTATTGATACATATACAGATACCTTAGTAAACAGGTCTGGACAGCACAGGTGAGGAGACCAGACTTCTCCAGGAAGGGAAACGGTTGTGAAACTAAGCTTGAATGTCTATTTTCTGCCACTGACGTGTGATCTGACGTCTGATAAATATTCCTCAGGAGAGCACAGGATTAAATCCGTGTTCTCTCACCACACCTGTGGGTTCTGGCACAGGTGCAGCACACACACACATGGCCATATGGACACTTTCTCACAGGCTTGGATGGAGGAGTTCTGCAAGGGCAGTACTTGCCTCCCCTGTGTTAAATATGAGTCAGCCCAAAGAAAAATCTGGTGCAAGTCCAGAGAAGCTCCAAAAATGGCTGAGGACTTCAGCTGAACCAAGGGGGATTTATTTTTATTTTTTCCTTATTCACTAGGATATTATATAACTACAATATAGTTCCAGTTTATGAACTGTAAAACAGGTGGAACAATTTTGTAAGGAGATAAAAGACAAGACGTGGGCACACAGAATGACAAAGTTGAAAGTTCCAGGGGTTGAAGGGGGTTCAGAGGCTGGTGTTTGGAGAGCAGTGTGTTCTCCCAGCGTGGGCAATGTAAATCTCAGCCAGTTATCCAGAGATGTGGTGTGGAGAAGGTAGAACTGCTCCTACAAGAGGAATCATCTCAGTTTTCCCCATTCTCTATGGTTATACCAGATTTTGCCCCTGTACAGAGCCACTGCCAGGCTGCACTAGAGTCTGAAATCATGGACTTAGTATGGCTTGGAGCAAGTTTAATTCCTTTCTTTGCTGACTTCATGCCAAGGAACACATGGTTGGCTCATACTCCAGGATATGGACTGACCTTTCCCTCTCAGCAGCTGAGAATTAATGTAAAGAAGAACCAGCTCCATTTTAATATCTGATGCTGCCCAGAGAGGCTGTGGCTGTGCCATCCCTGGAAGAGTTCAAGGCCTGGTTGGACAGGGCTTAGAGCAACCTGGGATAGTGGAAAGTGTCCCTGCCCATGGCAAGGGGTGGAACTGGATGGGCTTTGAGGTCC